CCCCCCCCCCCACACTTACTTACTTCCTCGCCGTGGAGGTCCGGAGCTCTGAGCAACGCGGGCGCTTCTTCTCCCCGCAGGGAAATCCACGCCTCGGACCGCAACCCCGGGGCGCCTGGTCAAGGATCCCGGGCTCCTCGCTGGCCACGCGCGAACCCCCTCCGGCCGCAGCCTGTGCCGACCCGCGCGCTCGCTGTCCCTTCGCAGGCGAGACTCCTCGCCCCGCCTCGGAGCGCCTCCCTCTCTCTCTCGCCCGCCCGCCCGCCCGCCGGCCGACCCCCTTCCAGCCCCAGCCCGGTCCCCGAGCTCGGCGCCTTGGAAGAGAAGCCGGACGTAGACTGGAAGCGGGACAGCGCGGCCTGTTCCAAGCGGGTTCCCAAATAAAAGGGAAAATAATATCCAATAAATGCATTTTATTCTCCTGCCTTCCATTCAGAGCCTGCAAGGAGGACAAGAGGACACCCCCCTCCTGCCTCCTATTATGCCCCCCAACGCCCATTTTGTAAGGTAGGCCGGGGAACATGGCTTCCCCTCTGTAGGCGAATTGGTAGGTTGGTTTTATTGTGGTTATTTTATTTTATTTTATTTTTATTTTATTTATTCGTCAAACGGGTCCAGGATAACACGTGTAGGTGTGAACACAAACATGAACAAAGGGAGTAAATGCAGGCAACATAGGAGCCTCTGTGGTGGCAGTGGTTAGAGGGCAGTACTGCAAGCTACTTTTGCAGCCAGCCGCCTACCATTTGGCAGTTCAAATCCCACCAGGCTCAAGGTTCACTCAGCCTCCCATCCTTCCGAGGTCTGTAGAACGAGGACCCAAATTGTTGTGGGCAATAAGCTGACTCTGTAAACAGCTTAGAGAGGGCTGTAAAGTGGTATATAAGTCTAAGTGCTATTGCTAAATGAGGACAGCAAGGCAGGGGCGGTAGGCACACTGGTGTGCTGATGCACGTCTCCTTTAAGGACCTCTTAAGAATGGGGTGAGGTCTACGGTAGACAGTTTGAGGTTGAAGCTGTGAGGGGTTGAGGCTGTGACCATGGAGTAGGGTAGAGCATTCCAGGCATTGACCACTCTGTTAGTGGTTAGTGGTTAGCAGCAGTGGTGGGATTCAATTTTTTTTTCTACCAATTCCATGGGCGTGGCTTGGTGGACATGGCAGGGGAAGATTACTGCAAAAACCCATTCCCTCCTCACCCCACTAACCTGCTTTCCAGCTCCGTTCTCCTGTGCAGGGCAACCAAAGAAGATCCAGCCAATCAGCTGGGACTTGAGAGGTGGAGAATAGATGGGGGCGGGGCCAGTCAGAGGTGGGATTTGCCGGTTCTCCAAACTACTCAAAATTTCCGCTACCGGTTCTCCAGAACTGGTCAGAACCTGCTGAATACCCACCTCTGGTTAGCAGGCTAGGTGCATCTCATGTTGGAGTTTGTCCCCACCATATCTGATTTGCACAACCTGTGAAGCCAAAACAAAACAATCATTTTGCTGGATTCTCACATGAGGCCAATGTGTTTTGCAAACCGCGGTTTCTATCTTAATGCAGGGTGAAAGTCAGCCACATGAGGCTTATTCCGCAAACCGTGGTTACCCAAGCCATCTCTTTATCTGCTATGTAAAACACCCAGCCGCATGCTCGGGAACGCAATCTAATTTCAGTGCATCGTTAATTTTCTGCAGCATTAATTTTCTGTATTCTGCACAGTAGTGGATTTGTAAGCTGATTTAGCAGAACGTCACCCTATAGTTTAACAGAATTACAGTTCTGATTAACACCTATCAGGTGATCCACACCACAGCTCATCAAGCTGATAACCTTCAGTCTATTAACAAACGCTTATCCGAGAAAGTTATAAAGCCCTTTGGATTCTTATATTAAAAGTCAGCATAGATTCCAAGAAAATAAATTCCTCTTTGAACTCAATATTTAATTTCTTTCAGAAGTGGGAAACCCTACAGGTCACAAACAGGCCTTACAGGTAGTCCTTGACTTATGACTACAATTGAAACCAGAATTCCTGTTACTAAGCAAGGTTGTTATATGAGCTATGCCCAGTTTTATGACCTGTTTTGCAATGACTGTTAAATAAACATTAAATAAATCTGGATTCCCATATTGATTTTGTTAGAAGCCACTGGGGAGGTTGCAAGTGGCAACCATATGATGCGACAACAAGGGTGATTTTCCGTTGATTTTTAGCTTACTCCTCCCCCTTAACTCAAAGAGACTTAGCAAAATTATTAGCATTTTTAAAAGCTCAAACCCTTGATTATCAAACTTGGGTGGGGGGATGGGAACTACAATCTGTTCTTCAGCTACCAGATCTGAGCAAAACCACTAGATGGCAGCTAAGAGTAGATGTCTTCTGACCCTTTGCTGCCATCTAGTGGGTATATAGAATTTTGCAAGTCAAGTTTGACAGCCTGAAGACACCTTTGCTGAACCCAGTGGTGCTATTTCAAGCGGCGACTGGACTTTCTGTTTTTTTTCTTTGAAACAGTTTCGCTTCTCACCCAAGAATTTCTTCAGCTCTTCTTCATGCTGGCTGGAGAATTCTGGCTGCTGAAGTCCACCCATCTTAAAGCAACCAAGTTTGAGAAACCCTGCATTAACCATTGCATAACCACTCTATATGTCACCTTCTTTTATACTTGCATTTCAACTAGATGATTTTCCCTGATCAGCCAGTAGAGGGCAACCCTTTTCCACCAATCCTCCCTTCAAAACCAACCTGCTAGAAAGCCGTGTAAAGGTGTGCACTGACTACAGCGTCTTCTTTAGGGTTAACAATCTGCAAGACTTGCTCTCCCTGTCTCTCTCCTTAACGGTGACCACCTTCTTTCATGAGCTCTTCTGTTGTGCCTTTAAAAAGATGACTAGCACCAGAAAGTTAACAGGTGATGCTCTTTCAGGGATGAGTTCAGGAGAACAGCTCCACCTGTCGAAGTTCTCTGCGTTAGGTTGAGGCTTAATGATTGTGAAAACAACACACAGTGAGAGAGAGAGGGAGAAAGAGAGAGGGGGGGAGATGGAGGGAGAAGGGGAAGGAGAGAGAAGTGGAAGGAGAGAGAAAGAGGGTGAGAGGGGAGAGAAGGAGGGAGGGTGAAAAAGAGGGAGAAAGAGAGGGGGAGGGAGAGAGAAAGAGTGGGAGAGAGGGGAAGGGAGGGAGAGAAAGGGGGGGAGAAAGGGGGAGGGAGAGTGGGGAGGGAGGGAGGGAGGGGGGGAGGGGGAGGGGGGGGGGGGGGAGGGAGGGAGGGAGAGAAAGAGGGAGAGAGGGAGGGAAAGGGAGATGGGGAGAGCGAGAACGAGAACGAGAGAGAGAGCCACAGACATTATGGAGTCCAGGGCAAATTTACAAAGAGTGCTTAAGCCCAAACTATAGAAAAAAAGGTTACAATTTTGGTTGATGTAGCCATGGTGGTGCAGTGATTAGAATGCAGTATTGCAGACTAACTCTGCTCATAGCAAGGAGTTCGATCCTGACCAGCTCAAGGTTGATGCAGCCTTCCATCCTTCCCAGGTCAGTAAAATCAAGACCCAGATTGTTGGGGGCAATAAACTGACTCTGTAAACCGCTTAGAGCAGGGGTCCCCAACCACCGGTCCCTGGACCAGTACCGGTTCACGGATCATTTTTTACCGGGCCGCAAAGCTTGGGCGCCGCCATCTTGTTTCGATGGTGCTTCCAGGTTTTCGGTTGCTTCCGGGTTTTCGGCTGGAAAGCGGCATTTGGGTGCTCGAGCCTTAGTTTCGTCGAAGGGGGGAGGCGGCTTTGAACAAAGAGCCATCCCGATGGCGGTGGAGTCTCGCGTTACTCAGGTACCAGTCCGTGGAAGAATAAATAATCGTGAAACTGGTCCCTGGTTCAAAAAAGGTTTGGGGCCACTGGCTTAGAGAGGACTGTAAAAGCACCGTGAAGCAGCATATAAGCCTTAAGTGTTAGTGCTATTGATAGGTGAAGCTAGTTTTAATGGGTGAAGCTAGTTTTAAGGCCTTGGGTGTCCTGAGTTGACTGGTCTTTCCTTAGAGAGATGAGTATTACCGTGTCTAATGTCAAGGTTGAACGCTACAGCCCTTTTCCCCCTTCTCCCATGATTGCCTCTCCAATGATGCTATTGATTGATTTCATGCATCAGGCATACCATATTAAAACAATTCCAAAATACAAATAGAAACATCTGGAAAAAGAAACAGAAACATCTGGGGGGGAAGCACAAGCCATTTAAAAAAGAACCATGTAACATCCCAAGAGGATGCGTCTACTTAAGGCCCCAGGCAAGGGAAGAGCCCAATTTTAAGAGCTGCTTTGAACAAGATAGCAGGCGGAGGGGCCCAAATAACTCTGGGGGGGTTGGGAGGATGTTGCCCGGCAAAGCAGATGCCATAAAAGCGAAGGCATGCTGCCTAGTTTCCATCAGAGCACACTGTTTAATGCAGAGGTCTCCAAACTTGGCAACTTTAAGACTTGTGGACTTCAACTCCCAGAAGGAGAATTCTGGGAGTTGAAGACCACAAGTGAGAACAGTTTCACTGACAGTGAGAACAATCAACCCATGGAACAGCAGTTGCTCTCAGAAGTTGTGGGAGCTTCATCACTGGAAGCTTTCAAGAAGAGACTGGACTGCCATCTGTCAAAATGGTGTAGGGTCTCCTGCTTGGGCAGGGGGTTGGACTAGACAACCTACAAGGTCCCTTCCAACTCTGATTATCTGTTACCAGTTAAGTCTTAAAGTTGCCAAGTTTGGGGACCCACCTCTGGTTTAATGGATGGGACATGAACTGGCCCAACTCTTCCAAAAGACAGGTGTCCTTCCGATCACCATGGCCTGTGTCATATCTCCCCATTGGGCATGGTGGTTGTGGGTGATAAGATTCTTCACCTGTCTGGCTACACAGAAAAAAAAAAGGAAAAAGAAATTGCAGCTTCCAGCATGAGTTGCAGATTTCTCTTTGACCACTAGATGGCAAGAAAGAGAGCCAGGGCGCTAACTATTGGTGGCCATCGAAGAATTGTCTACATGATATATAGCAGGGAAGGCTAACCTTTTTGTCATTGCATGCCAAAGGTGTGCACGCATGTGTGCCTGCACCCATAATGCAATGTGTGCGTGATCCCCACACATCCCTGCGCATGCGCACAGGCCACGCCCCCCTCCACATGCACGGCAGATACCTGACAATCGGCTGGTGGGAGGCGTGCG